CCTGCAGAAGCTATCATCTTTTGACATACGATGCAGAAGCTGCTCTTGTTTTATCGACAAAATAGCTGTGTTCACGCGTGCTACAATTTTTGTCATCTCTACGCCAACCGGTGGGTACGATAATGGAGATAATGCCTGCAAGATATAGCTCTGTAAGAACATCGGCCCCTCTAACCATGTCTCTATTTCTCTTCTTGTTGATATACCTCTCGGAGTAAGGTCGACGATATTGTGTTTGGACCGGATGTGACGCCAGTGGGACACCGTGGAGTACTGATGGATGATTGCTAACCGATTGGCAACGAATTTACTAAAACGTGTTGAAGTATTTTCTATATAATATTTGACAATCATTGAATCCGTCCAGTACCACACCTCGCTGAACATCTCCGATAGAGCCCTTTTTATCAGATCTCCTATTTTGATTCCCAGAACTGTCGCAGACGGTTCCAGTCGCGGTGTGGTTACGGGTTTGATAGGTGCCACTCGAGACTTACTGAACAGCAAAACGCTGTAAGCCGGTTTTCTTGCTGGAACGCACCAGGCGTAGGCGACGGCCCCATAGCCTGTCTTGGATGCATCACAGAAAACATGCAACTCTGTTCTCCCTCCTTCTCTCCAATCTTCGTTTCTATTACTTCTTGGGATCTTAATGACTTCTAGACACCTAACAAAGCGTATCCAGCTTTCCCAAATACTGGCATCTACAGCACTGAGAGGTTGGTCCCAACCCATTTTGGATTTTCACAAGGTTTGCAGCAAATGCTTTGATGGGAGACATAGAGGGGCTGCGAGACCTAGCGGTTCAAACCACGAACTGACGCCGGATAATATACTTCTTGTCACCGGTTTATCTATTAACTGGAACTGGAACGTAAAAACATCTCGTGTTGTGTCCCACTACACGCCCAAAGCTCTCTGTCAACTGAAATCGATTTGAGGCAGTTGAACCAGGTTGGTACTCGTGCTGTCTTCCGAGAGGCATTCTGCAAGCTCGAATGAATCAAATGACCACCTTCTCAGCTTAAAACCACCTCTTCCCAATAGTTCGGTTATTTCCTTCGCAAAACGTAGGGCTTCATCACATGTCGTGAACGATGCAAGACAGTCATCAACATAGAAGTTTTCTTCTATGGCTTTTAGCACCGCACGCCCATAACCACTACCGAATTCTCTTGCAGCCCTGTTCAAGGAAAAATTAGCACAAAACGGTGAAGAAGTTGCACCAAACTGGTGAGCTGTCATCTAATATTCCTCGGGATCCTTGAGTGGGTCACCCTGTGGCCACCAGAGAAACCTCAAAGCGCCTCTATCATGTTTTGGCACCTTCCCCTGCATAAACATCTCTTCTATGTCAGCTGTAACAGCGACACGTTCCTTACGGAATCATAAAAGTATCTCCACTAAATTCGCGGTGGTGTCTGGACCTTCATAGAGCATGTCGTTCAACGATTGCCCCTTGTGTTTTGCCGCACAATTCACAACTATACGCAGTTTTTCGGGCATTTTTGGGTTTAGTACTGCATGATGAAGCAGGTAACAACGCGGATGGAAATCGCAGTGTAACTGTTCACCTTGGACTGGCACGGCATATCCCTTCTCTATAGTCATCTTCATCGTTTGTGCGTAACGTAACCGTGGCGATTCGTCATTAATTAAGCGTCGTTTCAGGCTGTTCAACCTTGAGAGCGCTGACGAATAGATTCCCATACCGGTATTTACACCCTTCTTCCATGGCAGTGGGACCATGGAGTTCCCGTCGACAAACATTGTACCGGACTCTACAATAGTGATAGCCTCCATATCGTCTACAGAAACGCCTTGAGCTAACAACTGGGCGTCTGTAACTTCTGCATCGTACATTCGCATTACCTGATGCAATAAATTTGAGTCTTCTGCAACCAAGCAGTTGACCGATTTCATTTCATACGAAGCGAAACTTGAAGGTCCGAAAATCGCCCAACCTAATAGCGTCCGAACTGCATGAGGATTACTTCTACCACCGAGCCTTTGATCGNCCTCCGGTATGTCACACCCAATTAATAGTAGAAGTTCTCCGTCAAAGTATTTTACTGGAAGGTCTGCCAAATGGGGCTAATTTTTTATCCTTTCAGAGATGTCTCTAACCGGCTTATGAACGGGCAATTCTTTTATAACAACAGCTTGCTCCACACATACTGATTCCGCTTCATTTAGAGGCAGTACCTGAAAAGCACTGCTGACAGGTTTTTCTAATAATTTACAATCATTTTACAATGATTGTAAAACCTGCCTTGAGAAAGGTTACCCACGGTAACCGAAACGTCGACGATTATAATTCTCTACCGACATCGCTGTGTTATTAACACTATAACATTCACAAAAAAATGAATGATTTGAATTATCTTTCAGATAATTCCGGACCAATAGTAAAATAGGAAAGTCTGCACGCTCCAACAGATCAAGCAAAATAATCTTGAGCGTTACCCCCGAAAGGGGTTTAATACAACCGAAAGCAATGGTTAGTTCAACAAAGAGCGACCAATCAAAACTTTGGTTGCAATCAAAACAAGAAAAGCACTGAATCCCATTTACATGTAAGAGCAAAGCACTTGAAGTGTGTGTCCAATAGATATACCTCACCGCAAAAAAAGGTAAAATAGAAGGTTCAGAAGAGACAATTCACCGACATGAAAACCACTGTGGGAAAGAATGCACGATAGAATGGCGAAGAGAGATAAGGAAATGCAAGGTAATTGAGAGGAATTTTTAGTCTCTTTGTTACAATTTTATCTTGCCTTCCTTGATCGTGCATTGCTTGCATGTCTCTTGTTGTAATCCCAGAAAAATACCATTGTCATTGTTATTATTACTTCTTGTGTTATGTTTTATTCTTCATTTTAAATTTTGCTATTACTCTTACCGTTACTGATTGGGAACAAGATCGCCGGGCAACAGGCTAGCAGTACAGGTTGATGGCTTACTCTTGGCTAATTTATTTTTCACGAGTGTACAAGTCCTAGCCCTGGACATTAGGTCGCCATCAATCTAGGTGAACATGAAATGCATGACAAGGTTAATTACAATATCAGGATCCAAAAGAGATGGAGAACATCGTGCCTCATCGGCATTCAATCGGTACTTAGCTATGATGAACGCCAGCTGGCTCCTAGTGACGGCTCATTACCACCTAATCTTAGGAAACATTTCCGGCCAACACTCATCTAGTTGCCCCTTGAATTTGTGCACGTTTGTGCAGTTAACCACTTCCCGGGGTAACCTGTTCCACAAAGGTATGACCCCACGTGCGAAGAAGTTGGCCCGGACCTCCAACTTAGAATGGTTCTGTTGAAGCTTAAAACCATGACCCCTCGTGTTTTGAGCACAATAATCCGTGAAAAATTCATTTGCATGGAGTCCTGAAAGCCCTCTCACTATTTTAAAGGTCTCAATCGGGTCTCCTTGTAGTCGTCTACATTCCAGCCAGAAGGTATTTAGGTCTCTCAATCGCTGTTCATAGGTTTCTCCCTTTTGCCGAGCTATAATTCCGGTAGCAAGTCGTTGAACCTTCTCCAGGTACGATATATCCTTTTTATAGACTGGTGCTCATATCTAAACACAGTATCCAAAGTATGGGCGAACTATTATTTTGTAGATAAGTGTTGCGACCTCTACGTTTCTACGTGTAAGGGCAGCACACAACCTTAGCACTTCAGTTCGTCCGTGGTTTCAACAGCTTCAGTACATGCCCTCTGAGAGTCAGATTGAAAGTAAGTGTAAATAAGGATCTATCTTCTGTTGTCAGTCCTATGAGCTGTTTGAAAATCTCAATCAAGTCACCTGTCAGGCTGGGGTAGTGCAATGAGAATAAGTCAAGGGCTGTAACGACAATCTGAACAACGTTTGATACGAATCGCAATGTCTCAACTTCGACTGACCAAACTTCAAGCACTTAGGAAAACAGGTGAACGACAGTTGAAATTCCGTTACTATTATAGGCATACATCAATATATATTTGTGACTTACGAAATCGTCGTAGGTCCCAGTTACAAAACGACAAACAATAAAGCAAATCACGGAGCAGGACCACATCGATACCGAGCGAAGGCTGGTTAAAACAACTGTTAAACTTTGAGTTCATAAAATAAGAAGAAGAGATAAGAAAAAGAAGATAATGGAATTAGAAAAGTATTGTGTACAAAAGCTGTTGAAAACCGTCACACCGGTCGCCAAACGCGCAGTGATTGCTTGTAGTTTTCTGCATAGATTTCAAATGGAATGTCTTCAATTGACATTTGAATAATTGATTTTGAGTACCGCGTGGTGTCATATTTCGTAGACGCTGATGGGATAGTTGCTATTACATCGTTTTTCAAATGCCCCTCTCATGTAGGGTAAAGGTTTAGACAATCAAGCCTGACGGGAGCACCGGAGACCGGAGGAGAATACGTCGACTTTAGTAAAATCCACCCAAGTAGGTTGAATGCTCCGACTGGCCAGGGTTTAGAGGATTCGTGCACCGTCGCTCGTCAGACGTGGACGATTTCAATCAAGTAAGTTATTGTGGTATGAAAATCGATCAAGCATATCTATAAATGACGCTGAGTTTTAGCGAACATGGGGTTTTCTTTTCTTTTTTGATTGTAGAAGCTGCTGAAAGCCGTCACATCCAACGCTTCGTGTCAGACATGTTTTCTGAAAGATAGAATGTTGGTGTGCAGTATCAGATCCATTACAATGTTTCGGAAAGTAACGATGAACTTCCAATATTCGGCTTCGGGAAATACTACTGCGCAGCATTCGTTTAGCTCTCTATTGAATTCATTGACACTAATACAATTAACCACCGCTTTACGTAAATTTATTCCACAGTGGTATAACTCTACTTGTGATGAACCTAGCTCGTAGATTTTTTCTACAATGACTTCTTTCCTATCTAAGTTGATGCCACCTTATGCCCCTGGCAGGAACGAACGAGAATAGGTTGTCCAACTTTAGACCCGAAAACCCTTTAAAAATCTTAAATGTCTCTATAAGGTTGCCTCGTATACGTCTGCGGAACAGGGAGAACAGTTCTATGTCCCTCAGTCGTTGGAGGTGTCCCTGCTCTTTATGGCCTGCTACCATTCTCGTTGCTGAATACTATACATTCTCAAGACACCGTTGATCCTGTTTAAAATAAAGCCCACATGCTTTTACATAATATTCTAAATGGGGACGCACTATAGTTTTGTACAAATGTACGAAAACCTCGGGTCTTCTGCAACTTACAACAGCGCAAAACCTGAAACGTTCGTGTCAAGCTTTGTTAGCAGCATGCTTACACTAAATGGATGGTCTAAATTCATTTGTAATCATTACCCCTGGATACTTTGCCTCGAAGACATGCTGCAAATGCATCATACCTCTCATGTCATCATTGGCTCTTGTGGTCAAGAGCTGACACTTACCTAGATTCAGTAGTAGATTCCATTTATTTGACAAGCTAGCTGCATCTATATCTTGGTCCAATCCTTCCCCAGCTAACTTTACATCATCGGTAAACATGTAGCAAGGTTTTGGAAATTCTTAGCAAGATCGCTAATGAAGATCAAAAATAATAACGGACCCAGCACCGATCCCTGTGAGACACCGCTCGACATTACCTCATGTTTGGTTGTATAGTTTCCAACAGTCACACTGAATGTGTGCCAGTTGAGAAATTGTCTAATCCATTCTCTTGCCTTACCTAGAATCCCCAGTGTCTGCATTTTTAGATCCAAAAGCTGAGGACTGACAGCGTCAAAAGCTTTGCTGAAATCTAGGTAGCAAACCTCCACCTGGTGAACTGCGTCTATTCTTTTTGTAACTTCGTCTAGAAATATCAGCAGGTTGGTTAGGCACGATCTTTTCTCAACGAATCCATGCTGGGCTTGGATCAGAATCATAAGCACCGCCAGGTAAATACATATATGTTTTCTGACTATTCGCTCAAGACACTTGCACAAGACCGAGGTCAAACTTACCGGCCTATAGTTTGCAAACCTTGTGTCTGGGGCCTAACGTGTGAATAGCCACTGCGGTTGCAGTCTTTCAGTCCTCCGGGAGCCTGCAAGTACTGATGGACTCCTTAAATAACTTAATTACCGGTCTCGCTAATGCACTTGCTAGAGGCTGACTCACGGCGGGGNGGAATCCATACGGTCCGGCTGCTGTATGCCTATTTAAGGAATTGAGATCTCGGACCACATAGCTTTCACAGTGGATGAACTCCGTGAAATGCTCCCTTGTTCTAACCAGGCTGCAGTCTACAGTCTATTCTGATGTAGGTGGCCGATAAATTCCCTTAAAAAACGTAAGGAGTGCATTTGCCTTGTCCTGGTCCGTGGTGGACATTACGCCTTCCGTTACCTCCATTATACCTACTCCCTCTCCAGTTTTCTTGTTCGCTTGCACGTTCAGTTCATTTCAGTTCTCACAGGACGATTTGGGGCTTTTGCCAATCGAGCGTCTAGATTCGTGTTTCGTCGGCGAGTTTCCTTGGAGTCCAACACTGCGATATGCTATTTTTCTGGAAGGCAGAATAGTTTGGTGCAGTATCACATCCATTGTGGTTAGGTTATAGGTGGTACTAAACGCTTACCTCAGGAGAAACCGCTATCCAGCCCTTATCAAGTGCCTTTTTAAACGCATCTACAGTACTTCAGCTTACGACTGACAGCGGCAACAACGGAATCACCCTGTTAGTGAAAAACGTTGCCCTCAGTTGCAGCCTAGAGTGGTTTCTCTGCAAACGTAAGTTATGTCTCCGCGTGCCCCTATGTGGAACCCACGAGAACAGGTCATCAAACCTAAGGCCGATTCACCCTTAACGATCTTAAATGTCTCGATGAAGGTCTCATCTTATCCG